GTATATCGTGACACAATGAAGGCATTTATTGATTATTTCCTGCTCTTGCAGGACAAAGTACATTCCACATGCCTCCAACTAAATAAGTAAAGAGCAAAGAGCAGAGGATGTTAGTAGAGCCTGATAGTGGAGAAGTGTTTCCCAAAAATTCCCTCAGTCACTTAGCAACAGAGAAAAGAAACTGCATAACCTCTAAAGGAAACAGGTGCTGAGTCAGTGAGGAGAGGAATGTCAGAAGAATGGGGAGGGAAGGATAACGTGTCTCTGTGTGCATATGCACGAGAGAGAGGTGTGTGTGTGTGAGAGTGTGAGTAACGCCGAGTGGAAGGCAGGCAGCCGAGGAGAGAACAAGGGGAGGAGACTCTCTGGGGATTGCGTGCGGACATCAAATGTTTACCTGTAAGAAAAAGAAAGGGGAAGGTGTAGAAGGGAAAAAAAGGAGAGGAAAAAAAGCCGTGGTTTACAGGGGTGGGCGGGGACCCAAAGCCTAAAGCATGAGCTTCGCACGCAACTTAACAATACTACCTTTATGAAGACTGTATTGCGTTAGTCAGTGAGCACACACACACACACACGCACACACTTATTCATGTATGATACCGCTCGTCTTAAACACACACACGCAAACACGCACGGAACAAAGGCACCTACACTGCAGCTACCCATGTGAAACCCTGTAAAAGAGGTGTAGAAAGCTTTCGTGACTTCCAGATAATGGGATCAAAGAGGCTCGGACTCCTTTGTGGCTACACATTATACACCAAATGGGGCCAAATAGCCGACCCCATCTGTAGAACAACTGGAGTTTCTGTTTGACAGAAAAGGGTACTTGTGTCTATTCAAGCTCAACCCCGAACCCAAACTTCTGAAAGCAGATGTTCAGTGTTCCCTCTCATCAGCGACCCTCTCTGCGGTTGCCCTGTTCATTTTTTTGTCATAATTCGCCAAACAAATCAAGACAAAATGAGTGGCAGCCTTTGTTGTGGAAACCACAGAGAGCCCCAGTGATTTACAGACGGGCGGCCTCTCTCTTGCTTTCTCTCGGGCTCTCTGTCTGACTGTCTGTCTCCTGCTGTCTCTACATCTACAGTATCTTGGCTCTCCATCTCAAGGCTGCTTTATCTTTTTACGAAAACAAAAAGCCTAGAAAAAGCTGGGCTGGTGTAAGACTGATAATAGATTAGTTGACAATAGTCACAACATGGGATTGTATTGAAAGCTCTCTAGACCTTTACAGTAACACCTCTTGGTTATCTCTGTGTATATGTGTATACAGTAGCTGTGGTAATGTTATTCATCATGATAAACGTTTAAAATGCAGACTTTCAGAGAAAGATATTCCGATTTTTTGCATTTGTTTTAACAGCCATTTAACGAGGAAATATCATGTTGCATTTAACCAAATAATGACGTGCATGCTAAATGTTTTTAAGACAATTACGCATATAACCAAATGCAAACCTTTGACCATTTGACAGTACTTTGTCTCTTCTCTTTGATTGGACGAAAAAAATCAGTCAGTCACAGCTCTGAGTGGCAGCTTGCGTGTAAAAGGCAGAGTTTTTGGGATTCAGCCTAGGGCGTCTGCGGTCAGCACAATATGTGTACTATAAATAATTTGACTCCGTATGTCTTGTGATTGTGTGAGCAGGGAGGGAGGGAGGGAGAGAGAGGGAGAGAGAGAGAGAGAGAGAGAGAGAGAGAGAGAGAGAGAGCTACACACACACACTGGGCTCAGGGCTTCCTCTCCTGAGAGCGTCTGCAGTCAGGGCGCAGGTACAATAGGGAGCATTGTTCGGCTGGCAGGCCCCTGCGTGCCGGCTCCCCCTCCGTACCTGAGCACAGAGACAGGTGTATTTCTCCTAGTCACGCATAGCCCTGCCACACTCCCAGCTGCCTACACACAGCCTGCCACTGAGATAACGCACACACACCTAGAAGAAAACTAGCGTATGACTACAGACACTCATTTTATTCCTCATTATTTGAACTCTTAACGTTCACCTTTTCCTATTCAAACTTTAACCTTAAAACAACTTTATCACGGTCCCTTTGGGGAGTTACAAATCCCAAATTAATGTCCCTCGAACATATCGTTTAACAAAAAAATTGTGAAAGCCAAGCTGTACACTCACTACAAGGTATTTCCTGCAGAAAGTTGAGGTGTATTCTGTTGACAATTAGACTTTTACATTTGATGTTTACAATGTGTGCTCTTTGACACAGGAGCCCAATAAACCGAGGCTGCTGCAGGTTAAAAAGATTCCCATGGTCACACTATAGTAAGGCTCCAGGAAGAGTGTGTTTGTCCAAATAAATTCCCTCTATGCCCAGTAAGAGTGTGTATTAGGAAGGAAGGAGGAATGAGTCATGTACATGTCAGTGGCACTGCACAGCCGGTCCAGGCCAAAAGTTCATTTAATTTCTGCTTAAGTGGGAAAACATGTTTGAAATAAACATTAGAACCCCTGTTACAGTTTGACATCTTAATGCAAGACGAGAGGGGGGAGGCCTGAAGGGAGCGAGGGATAATGGTATGACGAGCGCTCAGAATTCAGGAAGTGATTTTACCAAAATCTTAACATTACAGTCCGATATTAAGAAAAGCAAAGAAGGTGGGGGGGCTTTTCAAGAGCCTCCCTTCAACAGATCCGACTCCCTGAGTTGCTGGAAGTAATCCAACCCTATCAGTCTCATAGCACGAGAGGATTATCTCTTTATCCTGGGTGATCCTATAGAAAAGAGGTACACGATGCATTATGTCTTATTATATAGAGCAGGCACAAGCCATTTTTTTTTTTTTTAAACCAGTTTTCACACGAGTAATCATCACCCAAGTCACACTGAAACCTCGCCGTGACCTCCTGTTGAGCTTCACTTTGCTCGTTCCCACGGAAAGTCCAAAAACCTGACGGAAGTCTGAATATTGGCCTTACAAGGAATTACGTGAGCTGCCAACATGGAATCCAACCTCAGGTTTCCTGGCTGATATTTACTGAATTTATTCCCGGGCGGATGTAAAAAAAAATAACACCCATGAAAAAGTAGGCGAGTGGTGGGGGGGGGGGGGGGCCAAGTGTGTCAGGCTGGTGAGCCTGCGGTGGGGGCCATGCCAGTGACCAGGGCATGCTGTTATTGGGAAATACTTGTAATTTTTCATCTTGGTTTCTATGACGTCGACCCTATAGGCTGAGTAGTTACAGTAAATAGCAGCGGTGCGGTCGGCATTGGTAGCCTCCTCAGTCTTTCGGTCTCATAGGCTCTTGCTCTCTCTCCTGTCGCTGGAGCTTGGGCACTCAGAGCCACATAAGGAAACATTTGTTCCCAGTCTGGTTGAATAGAGCCTTGTGTTGGAGGTAGTCAAAGAGAGATACAAGGGGGATAGGACATCCAAACAGTCCAACACAAGAGCTCTGCTCTGAAGCCCCTCTCTGTCTGAGCCGGGCCAGTAATGAATGTCCTCTAGTCTTAATCACTCTCAGAGCACACACTGGAGATATGACTGACTCCATTGTCCTCTCTATGTTTTGTATGTTGAATGCAGAAGGCGTAGAGGTCATTGCTACCAGTAAATATTAGGTTTGTTTCACCACCACCCGGTGATCACAGTGCCGCTTGTACGGGCTCTTTGAACGCAGTAGATTTCCATATCTGCATTTTATTTTTTTTTTAAATCCGGCTGCAACACATATGTTACAGTTCTGCATATGTGCACTGTAAGCTATATACTATTTGTTTGTGCTGCTTGGGAATGTCTGAATCTTCTCTTCGCTCAGTCAGCCTTGTTTCCCCCGGATTGTCTGATGCATTCCTCCTTTTCCTCCCGTCTGTGTGAGCAGCATTCAGAATGGTTTTGTGCTCTCTGGATTTGATTATCCCTGTCACACCAATCTGGAAAACATTTGTGTGCACATTAGCACATACACACACGCTGGCGTGAGTAGGGATATGGAGGAGGAGGATGCACAAAGTAGGAACATGCACACACACACACACACATGCATTATGCAGCAAATACACACGTTCAGAAATAATGCAGTTTCATCGCATTTGGCTCTGTTGTAAGGTGGAGTGATTGCTGAGCATGAAAGCGGGAGGAACCGCTGGCTCTATTGTTAGCGTTCATCATATCGTTTTGGTAAAGGGATCATTATCTCTTAATTACCTCCACAAGATAATTGCCACTAATACTTTAATTCAGCCTCGATTAATGATTAATGAGCATTAATCAAGGGAGCACAATTTCTTTTGTGCAAGAAGTGAGGTTAACACAGCGGACCAGATAAAAATTTCCTTTTTTTTCTTTTTTTTCAAAAAAGAAAAAAAAATCAAACCCTCACACAGCAGCGGTGGCTTCGGAATGCGAGACAGGAATGCTGTTGAGTTACTATAAAGGGGGTTTGATCACTGCTAACAATGTCTTTGTGTTTTCATTCCCAGCTCTAGTCACGCAATGCTGTGTGCGCGCAAACCTCCAGCAGCTTTTTCAACCCCAGCACACAAGAAAGCCATCAAGTACCTGCAATTGACTGAATCGCGTGCAGTTCAGGTACTCCAGGATTGCACTGGAGCACGGCCAAATAGGGGGTAAAGCAAAAGGTGGAGTGGAGCTTCACCTGCTTAAAGTGTAATGCACACTGTCTTGCGATTGGAGATCGGTAACAGGGATGTAGTGGAGGGTAAAGCCAGTTTAAATGTATTGATTTATTCATGCATGTGAATTATAGGAGGATAACAATAATCATTTTAAGGGGAACCATTGGTTCGTGAAAATATGCTACATTTCTTGATCACTTAAGTCAAAGTTGACCCTCTTATTCAACATATATCAGATGTTGTTTTTGATCACTTTCAGCCACACTGTATCAAAGTGTCATAATTCACATAGTCATATGCAGTACTGTATGTTCACAATGGTTTTATTATAGTGGGATTTATAATGACACCCAATCAAATTATCTCTTGACAGTCTGACACATGACGAACCCATAAACAAATGTCACATTTTTTTGCTCCGATGCACATTCAACGAGTAGAGCTCTAACCATCTTACTCTTAAGTTCAGTTCAGTTCTAATTTTAGCCTTTGAGGCGATACTCCGTTCCCAGGAATCCAGTCCTCGTTTTGAGGTTTAATAAGAGAAGCTATGATCCCAGAAATACAAGCAAGTCTGGAGGTGGTTAGAACATGAAAGTGAGGTAAGAAAGACAAGAGATTCATTCATGGGAGGGTGATTCAAGGTACCGACATCCCTGTATCTCTGCACAGCGACAGAAGATCATTATTACTCACTCGCACTGCTCACACGCAAACCTGAGATCAAACTGACAGATGAGTGACTGTAACAACAATGTAACAGCCTATATTTGTGACAATAACTTACCTCTCTGTTGATAATACTAATAACTATTATAATATAATATTTTTTTAAATATAATCAATAGATGCTAATGCCCGTAACAGGGTTAATTAACAAGGTGTATTTAATGTAATTAAACATTTCCCAGGTATGTAAACAAAAGATAATTATGCAGTATTTTCAATAATACTTTACTGGCACTATATGTTACGCTATAATCTCACTCCATATTCTGTTCACTGTTTTCAAATTATTCTTTTTCTAATAAAGGTTTTAATCTGGTAACATGCTCCTGTTCGCAAATATTTGTCAGCAACAACGATAAACTCCACATACCATCATGCCTTGCGCGCTTACGTTGGCTGAGGGCAGCGTGTGCTGCGCTGCTGTGCTCCAACTATGGCTCAGTGCGGCTCAGGCTCTTCACAGGAGCGCTGCGTATCGGCTCCACGGGCGCTAGTTGGAGCTCCAGCAGAGGACCAGCATTGCGCTGGACCACAAGGAGGAACCGGCTACTTTTACTGCCTATCGGAAATAATCACACTGATCGATCTGCTTGATTCTAAGGAAGCAACCATCAGAGGATTCTTTGGAAACACTAAATGGATTAAATGCTACCGTTACAGCATTGACACACGTGGAGGAGTTATTAGTGTTATTAACATTGGTAAAACTTTGTGATGGATTCAACGCTCCAGCTGTGCATCGTCCTGTGGGATATGAGGAAATACTGTCTCTTACACGGGATGAATGGTGTCCATTGCTCCTGTTGTCCGAGTCCTTCTGCAGGACGAGCAGTTCGTCGGACAGGCGAGTCTCTTGGGATACTTAACGCGTGCGGCCAGTGTCACAGATGGTCAACACCATGATATGCTTTTGGAAGTCGATATTCGTTGCGCTGGATTTTTTTTTGGCACAAGGAATATCCTGGAATATAATTTGAAAGTGCTCAGCAGATGTCCAGCGCTTTGGATAATGACAGAACGCATCTCCTCATCCGACAGGTATGTGAGAATTACCTACGACGTTGACCTTTATTTTTTTTTATCAGTGAGATGTCATGATATGACTTAATGCCTGTCAGAACCTAATGTTGTCATTTAATTTGTTGAGTTGTAAAAAAAACAAAACACTGACTGCACTACAGTCAGTGGTGTTCCAAAGGGTTCCCAATTAGGAATAACTCAGCTGTTATTTCACAAACGGTATAAAAACCTTAGGCGACAAAAAAGGCTGTTTGGACCAAAGGTTCAGTCTTTATCTCCTCACACACCCATTCAGCCCACATCTTCGCTACCCGATTCCCCCAAACATTCAAACTCCTCTCACATGGGATACCTTAGGCTGAGGGCATCTCTTATCAAGTTAGGGTCTACTCTGTGTCTGTGGAAGGGAAGGGGGGGGGGGGGGGGGGGGGGGGGGGGGGGGGGAGCATGTTTGGCATTCAAGCCTTGTCAAAACCCCTGATCTGCTCCACATATGCAGGTTCACCTGTGAGAGCACTGCTCCGTTATTCTCTAGGGTTCATTGCGCTCCCATCTCTCACCCTCAAAGCTGACTCCCACTGATGTAATCGTATGTCAGACGCATGACTTGAATCCCCTCATTTTTCAAACTGACCCCCTTTTTTTTTTATAACCCGTCCTTACCCGGACGTCAGCTGTACACCTGCAGTGCCAGGTGTCCACAGACCATTCGCAGAGCCGCGACTTGCCATATACGCTGTGAAAAGACCAGGTGCAGTAAAGTAAATGATCGGTGTGGATACAGTAACCATAGAAAGCAACGTCTAGTCCACCCACACCTCTCCCCACAGTGACTCCATTCAGGTGGGAGTAAATCTCTCTCCAGAAGCTTTCGCCCACAGGGGCGCCTGCCATGTGAAGCAGCTGTCAGTGGTGCAAGCTGCTGCTACCTGACACATGGCATGTATCAGAGATCAACACTGTGCTGTGGTTAATATACACACACACACACACACACACACACACACACACACACACACACACACACACACGTATTTGGATGGCGTGTAGGTGCTTCCTTTGAGTGGAACCTGCAGGTGCACATGATCTCACTCAACGGTAAACCACACATGGTCAGATTCATATGAGAGAAGTGCTTGTGCCCGCTCTGCGCGTTTGGCATTTCCATCTTTAAGGAGCGTATGGTGACATAATGGCGTTGCATTCATAGCAGGTGAAGTTATCTGATGAAGCTTCCAGCTCCCTCTTCCTCCTCCCTCACCCCTTCAGCTCTCACTCCCCCAATACCGTCCACTTCCTTAGCAATGAAGAATTCCATCTATTGTTGGGGCAGGGCACAGAGAGCCCCACTATATGTCTGTATACAGCGCAGAGCACAGGCCGAGCACCCCCCCCCCCCCCCACACCCCCCCCATTAAAAATCTTCTCCAAACAAGACCCCCTTTCTCCACTGAAGAGGGACCCTCTGTCTAATGCCAAGTGACTCTCATGGCCAGCATTGACGGTGGGACACTTGCTTCACAAAAGGAGCTGAAGTGTCAAATAAACTCGGTCAGAGCCCCCGACACACAAGAATTCCTTTATCTGGCACCCTGGGAGGCAGACAAAGACAGACTTTGTGTCAGTGAGCAGGCCTTGACTAAACACTGGGGCTGTTTTTTTTTTTGTTTTTTTCCTACTCCTCTTCTCACAACTTCTGCCTCTTCTTCCTCCTCCTCCTTTTCTGGTTTGAACGGCGGAGCGGGAGCATGTTTGTTGACGTGACCCCGCTCGCCCAGTATCTGTCCCGCACACCGCCAACGTCACCCCATGTGCTGTGTAAGCGCCACACAGACACAGACGCACCCATGCACGTCCACTCTCAGACACCCGCTTCTCCCACTCCGACTCTTAGACATCAAAGCAGCCAGGGTATTTCGGTAAATGTCCTTTTTTTCTTTTTCTTTCTCTTTTGGATACTTTTGTTTATGTCTTGGTCCATAGCGGAGAATGGCAAAGCAGGAATTTGCTTTCTCACAGGGCTGAGTGTGCTGGCTGAGCCGTCATACGATATGCTTGTGGTGAACCGCAGTAAAGAGCCATATACACACCAGGGTCAGAGTCACTTAACAACCCTGTATTTACTCCACTCAACATTTCCAAGGAACTTTCTCATCACTTGCAATTCTCCTGAGCTCAGATTCAGCTGTATTGTCTTCTGTTTTAGACTTCAGTTGAAATATAATGAGCTCCTCGCGCCTGCAGTTCTTCACAAGCTGTTAGAGGATTAACATAAGTTTACATTACCTTAAAAACGTTACCTGGACAAATCCGGTAACGCACACGTTTAAGACTAAACAGACACGCGCTCTTTCCATACCAGTGGTGTAATGCAGTAATTCCGCGGAGCTCTATATTCTGCTCCTTGAAGTTATAACCTAGTCTGCATTGGAAGTGCTGGAAAATGACCTCATGCAGCGTTGAGACAATGCTGAAGCGGAGTTGTGGCCCAGAGCTAAAATGCTGGCTGGCCGGCCGCAGTGACAGACATGTGCATCAGGCCCCAGGTATGCTAATACAGGCCCGCCGGGGAGCGATAGTCCCCAGCACGGCGGTTAAGGTAAACAGATCGAGTTGCTGTGGTCGAGCGCGTTAATGGTGTGTTTATGAGCTTAAGTTGAGTGGTGATTTATCATGTCTAAACTCAAGGCTCACCTCTGGTCCTTGGCCTTGATCAAGCTCAGTATCTGGTGTGTGTGTGTGTGTGTGTTTGTGTGTGACATTGCGCGCAGGTGACAACGCTGACTGAGCGGCATGACCTCCTGTGATCCGTGTCCTGCTATCGTGGGCTGCTTAAGGGAAGTGGAAAGCAATAGAAACGTTTTATTACACATTAATTACACCCTGTTTTTGTAGCTAATGTGCCCTCAGCATTACCTCATCAGGTCTGCGCGGGCACAGGGCTCGAATCGCAGGAGAATATCCTTCAAACATTAGTATCAGATAACCTTTTAATGAGCTCCATGAGAAATATCAGGCTGTAAGAAAAGGCTGCTGTGTATCCTTTCATATATAGAGCACTATTTACACTCCGTTAGCGTGTGTGTGTGTGTGTGTGTGTGTGTGTGTGTATGTTTAGAAATGGGCTCTAAAGTTTGTCTGAACAGGAGAACTGTCATTTATTAGTAGTGCAGGAACAATGGGGAGCTTGTCTCCGGGGTGGTGGGGGCCAAAGGGGGGGCCAGTGGGGGGCCGGTGGAGCCAGGGGAGGGTGGCCTGAGATTGGGCAGCAGCCTCTGACCAAGAACAAGCCTCTGTCTGATGGAGAGAACTGCTGACCCTTCCTGAGTAAAATGGCACCTTTGTTTCGAGGTGTATGTGTTTGTGCCTAAGTGTTTATGTGTGTGTGTGTGTGTGTGTGTGTGTGTGTGTGAGGGAGAAGGAGAGAGGTTTTGAAAAGCCGGGACCTCTGTGTAAAGTGTTTTTTTTTCTTAGTGCTTTCCCTCCATTTGTGATTTTCTCCTCTGTGATAGATTCTCAAGGAACACGTGTAAGACGTGGGGGCAAATGAACTAGCTATCTGGCACACAAGTACATCATGACATGCCATTTTCTGAGCGGCCATCACCCAAGAACTTGCTCAGAATTTGATGTGTTAATGCAGTGCTTTGAGATGATGCACTTTATTAAGACCTTGTACTTTCAAAATGCCAAAACAGAGGTGTCCAATTTTCATGGAACGAGTGCCTTCAGTAACACAAGACAGGGTAGCGTATCTGTCATGCTATACACAAAGCTCCAGACCTCTGTGATGCTACAACACCAGACCACCCCTTCAAATTCATTAGCTGTTTTGTGTTTTCCTCTGGCCTGCTGCCACAGTCTGTGTGCTGCTTTCCTCCTGCTGTCTTCTCACTCTAATGATGCTCGCGGGGGAGATATGCTGTGTTTAAACAGGGGGGGTAAAGAAATAGAAGGGAGGAGGTTTAAATGCTGGTGGGTAATGGGGGCAGACTGCTGATTTCCTACTGGGAAACCACAACTTAGTGTGTGTGCGTGTGTGTGTGTGTGTGTAAAGGCGGGTGTTTATCCTGCTTTGGGAGTTATCAGGAAGTGGGAGGCTGAGAGAGACAGACAGCTTGTGCTTAAGTGAGAGTGTGGCAGGGTGCTTTAGAGGAAGTGGTGAACATGAGTGGGGATTCTTCACAATGACGCCTCTGGGTCTGGCACTTAAAGCGTGTCGACTTTGATAAAGAGCCCTCTGCACCTGGTGTTCAGACCTTTTTAAATGTTTTAGCTCCCTGCCGCGTGGCCCGCCATTCCCCGCCGGGTGATAACATCTGACGCACTTCCGCTGACCGCCATTTAAATCCCGCCACCCCTTCTGTCCTTGACCTCCCGTGTAAGCACAGCCACGCTGCAGGAGTACAGAAGAAAGGGAGCATTGGAGAGATGGAGAGCGCAGAAAGGTGAAGGGAAGATGGGCGGGAGGACGGGCCCCTCGACACACACCGAGCAAACAGCGAAGACACACACAGCGCAGCAACAGGGGCGTCTCTGTCGGCCCCCGACGCAGACAGACAGCACTCCATTCAAACTTTCGCTCGGCCACAGGAAGGCCACCCGCCTCACTACAAGGGCACTTTGAATCTGGAGAAGAGTAGTGAATAAGAGATGATGACAACATGCTTAAACCCTGCAAGTTGCAGTGTAGAAGTGTAGCACAGGCTTGACCTTATTTGCACAGTAGAGAGGAAGTGCATGGAGTTTGGTTACATTATTTGCAAGTCTTCCCCGTTGTGAAACTGTAATTTTACTCAGTTGCATGCGTTTTTTGTTTTTTTTATATGTATTTCCCTTTGAAGCCCCCAGGTGTATTGTTGTGGATCTTCAGGTGTCTTCATCACCTGCCCTGGTGCGAAAAAATAAATAATAAATAAATCTCAATGATCTTGCGTTGCTTAAAATACCAAACATTCCTTCTCTAATTTTCTCTCAAACTGAACCTCACTTGTTCTTTTCGTGCTCTCGTTTTTGGA